TGCTAGAGCAATAATACAGGAGAAGGAAATAAAAGGAGTAATAATTGGAAAAGAAGAAATCAAATTACCCCTTTTTTGCAGATGATATGATAATATACGTAAGAGATCCCAAAAGTTCCACCAGAAAACTCCTAGAACTTATAAACACTTTTAGTATAGTGGCAGGTTATAAAAATCAATGTACAAAAATCAGTAGCCTTTGTATATACCAATAACAAGCAATTGGAGAAAGAATACAGGGAAATCTCCCATTCACAATTGCTGATATATATATATATGTATATATATATATGAATAAATCTGACCAAAGACACCAAAGATCTCTACAATGAAAATTTTAAATCATTAAAGAAAGAGATTGAGGAAGACAACAAGAGATGGAAGAACCTCCCATATTCATGGATTGGAAGAATTAATATTGTGCAAATGACCATCCTACCAAAAGCAATAATTAGATTCAATGCAATCCCAATCAAAATCCCTATGACATATTTCACCGAATTAGAAAAATCCATCCTAAATTCATATGGAGACACCAAAGACTCTGGATAGCCAAAGTAACCCTAAGCACAAAGAGCAGCACTGAGGGGATTACTATACCAGATCTCAAAGTATACTACAGAGCTATAGTCATAAAATAGCATGGTACTGGCACAAAAACCGACACATAGATCAATGGAATATCATTGAAGATCCAAACTGAGTAAACACAATTTCAGCCACCTGATATTTGACAAAGGTGCCAAGAACACACAATGGAGAAAAGACGGCATCTTCAACAAATGGTGCTGGCAAAACTGGATCTCCACCTGTAGAAGAATGAAACTGATCCTTATCTTTCACCTTGCACAAAAGTCATGGGACTTCATTAAACCAGAAAACTTCTGTACATCAAAGGAAGCAACCAAGGAAGTGAAGAGAAAATCCACAGAATGGGAGAAAAACTTCACCAGTGACAAATCTAACAGAGGTTTAACATCTAGAATATATAAGGAACAAAAAAAAAAAAAATCCAGAAACCAAATGACCCAATTAAAAGATGGGCTAAAGTTATCTAAACAGAGAGTTCTCAAAAGAAGAAATAAAGATGGCTAAGAAACATCTCAAAAAGTTTTCAACATCATTAGTAATTAGGGAAATGCAAATTAAAACCACCCTAAGGTATCATCTTATTCCAATCAGACTGGCTAGGATCAAGGGAACAAATGATACCAAATGCTGGTGAGGATGTGGAGAAAGAGGAACGCTCATTCATTGCTGGTGTCACTGCAAACCCATGCAACCTCTATGGAAAACAGTGTGGAGAACTCTTAAAAAATTAAAAAATGAACCTACCATATGACCCAGTTATACCACTCATTGGCATCTATGCAAAGGACTCACCCTATTGTAGAGACATTTGTACAACCACGTTTGTTACTGCTCTTTTCACAATAGCTAAGAGATGGAAGCAAGCTAAGTGCCCCTCAACTGATGAATGGTTAACAAAAATATGGTATATTTACGCAATGGAGTTTTATTCAGGAGTAAAGAAAGATGAAATAATGAAATTTGCAGGTAAATGGATGGATCTAGAAACTGTTATACTAAGTGAAGTAACACAGACTCAGAAAAATAAATGACGTATGTTCTCCCTCATATGTAGATCTTAGTGCTAAATCCTCTTAAATTCCAGGTCCTTTTAATAAGATGATGCTACACAGCAGTCCCTTCTGCATGAAATAACTACCATCATAACAACTTCAGCTGTGCCTGATCACTAAACATCGTCACAGTTGGGCTTGTTGATGGTTGTGCTCATTCATTAAAGGAGGGTCAAGCACTGTCACTTGCCCCTTACTGGAGTACCCAGCCACTTTTCCCAGCGAACTCTATCAAAATACCTGAAAGCAAATCCTGAATCATCACTCTAGAATCCAGCCTTGGAAGACAAAAGAAAAATGAGGAGGAACCCAATAGAAAGATGCTTTTGGAAGCCCTTGTCACAAAATTCCAATGGACTCTCATATGAACGTTTGAAAATTGCCCTGTTCTGACGTTTTTCTAGTTCCTTGTCTAGAACTTGTAATGCTAATTACTCTTGCCTTTGCTTCTCCTTCACATCTCCTATTTGCGATTTAAGGACTTTCTTTTCCTCTTAGAGATAAGAGTTATGCAATTTGGGAGTCTTTTAGATAGACCCACTGAAGGGGTACTCCAGTTGCCTCACTCTGAGTCCCTGTTCAGCATGGAAGAAACCAGAGCGGTCTGTGTCCCTATTCCCTATTGGCAATTTGGGTAACCCCTTCAGAGGATGGTGTGATAAGAATAGGAGGTAGGAACTGGCTAGGCAGTCAGAGTACAAAGACCCCCAAAGAAAAGTAGCCAGTTTCTGGGCTAAAAATCAAAATGTCTGTGGGACTGTTAGCAACATACTCTGTTGCAAAGGCCAAAAATGTCAAAAGTATTTGGGAGCTTGTATGTAATCCTTAAAAAAATTTAGGGTTACCTCTTCAGAGGGGGGAATGTTAGAATTCCCAAAAGCCCTATAAAAGTAAATAAATGAAAGAAGAAAAAAAAGAAGAAAAAGAAAAATGTGATGAGGAAATATGGGTGGTGTTAGAAGGAAGGGAGTGGGCATAGCTTTGATCAAAACACCTTATATACATATATAAAATTCTCAATAAAGTTTTTGTAAAAGTTAAAAAAAAGAAATGGAAACATATAAGTGAATCTGATTTGTTTTGTATCATTGGATATTTAAGTGTAAATTTGTTTAATATCACTGAATATTTAGGTAAATGTCCTATTTTCCCATTCCAATTAATGTTGTAATGACAATCTATTTTAGCTCAAAATCTGTTGACAAACTTTCGGCACTAAACCCACACGAGTCTTGGGATATGGTCACTTGTTGGTTTATATAAGAACTGTACCAATTTGACATCATATCTATTATTTTTCTCTGCATTATTTTGATTATAGTTCAGTTTCCTGTTTATCTTTTTCTTATTGACTACTACATTTTTGTTTATTAAATTCCATTCTTCTCTGTTTTTATTGATCTGTTCTGTTATTCTTATTGATGTGCGCATGTTTTCTTATAATTGGAATTAGTCATTTACCTGAAAAAAAGCCATGGATGTACCCATTCTTTTCTGTTTCCACTGTTGCCTTTTTTGTTGGAGCCACTGTCATTTCCTCTCTGAATTTCTTCAGTAGCCAGAATTTCCAACGAGCCTCCATGCATCCACCTAGTTTGGTCCCTGCCTCCTTCCTGCCTGCCTTACCCTGTCCTTCTCCAGTGCTACGCTGACTCTGCTTCTTCCACCACTCACTGTCCCCAAATGGTTTCTCACGTGTTCCTGTGCTTTGCAAGCTCCATTTTCCCCAGGACTTTTCCCATATACCTTTACTTGAATAGGTTCTCATGATAGATCAGGGCGCTATGAGAGGGTGCTGATGGAGAAGGGGAGTATAAAGGTGATTAAGATGTTGTGTATGAAGTACACAGAAACTCAATAAACAGTACAAAGAAAATGGCTGCATATAGTTCACTTATTCACTTTGCAAACTGTCTTTGAAATGATTCCATGTGTCCTGATTATCTGCTTTTTGAAATGTTTTTATTGACTCTGAGAATTTCATACAATGTATCTTGATCATATTCAGACCCCATCCCCCAGCTCCACCCTCACTGTACTCTCCCCCTTTGACTTCATGTCCTCTTTTATATTTTTTCTTTTTTAAAGGCCTATGGAGTCTAATTTGCATTCCTCAAATACTCTTGGGTGTGGTTCCATTCCTTGGAGTCTGGTCAACCTACCAGATGTCACACCCTTAATGAAAATTGACCTTCTGTCTTCCAGCAGCTATCAGTTGCCAATAGATCCTCAATTAGGGCTTGGGCTTCTTGAACACATCTCCCATCCATACTGGGCTTTTGTCTGGCTTGGGCTTGCATAGGTCTTGTGCATGCTGTCACAAGCAGTTGTTCACTTGTGTCATCTGAGAGGAAAACCTCAGTTGAGGAATTTCCTAGATCAGGTTGGTCTGTGAGCATATCTGTGAGGGATTGTCTTGATTATTAATTGGTGTAGAAAGGCCCAGCCCAGTGTGGGCAGCACCATTCCTCCAGCAGGTGGTCCTGGGCTATATAAAAAAGTATGTCAAACATGAGTCAGTGAGCAAGCCAGTGAGCAAGCAAGAAGCAACTTTCCTCCACTGTTTCTGCTTCATGTTCTTGCTTAAGATCCTGCCTGACTTCTCTCAATGATGGACTTTGACCTGGAAGTGTAAACCAAATAAACCCTTTACTTTCCCAACTTGCTCGGTTTCATCACAGGAAACTAGGATACTGCATAATTTAGATGAGGTAAAGGTCCGATATGCATCACTTCTACAGTTTTACAAAAATATGTATACTTATATATCTATTAGGGGAAAATTGAAAAGCTCAGTCTCTGTGGTTTATGAAACAAATGATCTCAAAGGCTGATAGACGAAATTGTGGGCTATGCAGTCCTGGAATTTGATTGAAACCCTGGCCCCAGCATTTATAAACTATTTGATTTTGGTCAAGTTAATTAACTGTTCTGTGGTTCAATTTCTTTCTCTATAAAATGCCTTGATTATGTCTGTTTTCTGTGACTGCTGAACATATTGAATATGATGACTTGTGAATTGCTTGGTACATAGCCTGGCACATGATAAGAACTATATGAATGCTATCCATTATTCTTTTCCATCTGCTTCATCTGGTATTTTAAGTTCCACCATTACAGTATATAGTGATACATTGTATCTGGGTTTCTGATTTATTTCTAGAGATTTGCTGTTCTGGTGTGAAGTTTTCTGCTACCAGATGATGATGTTGATGCTGTTATTCTTCTGCAGGAGTTCATGTCACTCTTGTATTTCTGGAATTGCAATGATCAGCTTCTGTAACATAGCATAATGAAGTCTGTTTTTATAGTACAGGCTTTGTGTGATATTAACACTCAGACTTGCTTTCTTGACAGCTGGCAAACTTCCCCAGACTTTGTGAAGAAACAGAAAGGATCGTTGCTAACCACATTCGTGAGAGAGAAGGGAAGACCAAGGACCAGGTGAGGGAGGCCTTCCCTGGTGGGCAGGGAGGGAGTGGGGAGTAGAAGGCCTTTACAACATTATCATGTTGTCTCCAGTAGTTGACCTCGTTGTTAATGGACAAAAGAGTCAAACACATAATGATTTTATATTTATTTTTACTTTTTATGAATTATATATGTGTATTGTTATACTAATATCTTATGCATATTGAAATATAAGCAAATATAAATAATTTAGATGTTTAAACTTAAAGAAGGGTAATAGAAGTACCAGAGCCAGGTGTGGTATGGTGGCTCACATCTGGAATCTCTGTACAAAGAGATTGGCAAAGAGAGGCAGGAGGATTGCCACAAGTTTGAGCACAACCTGAGCTATAGTATGAGATCCTGTCTCAACACACAAATATAACAAAAGAAAAAGAAAGGGAACCAAACCAGGAGTTTGGTTATTTTTTTTCCGTCAACCTTCCATGGCCATCTTGTGTGCCCCCTGGCATATGCACACTTTGATAACCACTAGTTCAGAAACACAGCAAATTATTTTTCCTTAAATATCAGTTTCTCAACTATTAAAAGACTTTCATATGAGCTGTAGGATATTCAGACATTTCTAAACATTTTACTCACAGTTATGTTTGAACTTACCTATGAAACTTATGTTTGAAAAAAATCATTTAGAGACAGGCATGGTGGCGCACGCCTACAGTCCCAGCACTTGGGAGGCAGAGGCAGGTAGATCTCTGTGAGTTCAAGGCCAGCCTGGTCTACATAGTGAGTTCTAGGACAGCTTGGGCTACAGGGAGACCCTGTCTCAAAAAGACCAAAAAAACAAAAACAAAAAACAAAAATGAAACAAAAATTTAGAAACTGATCTTTTAAATATTTCAAATTATTTTGCAAATGCCTATGGTGTGTTAAGGAGCTACCTTGAAGTCATCTTCCAATCCTAGCTCTGTGATTTGGAAAGGTTATTTCTAAGTGAGGATAATTCATTTGAAAAATGAATAGCAAATTCTTGCAGTAAAATGGCTTTTTCTTAGTTACTTATAAAACATAATAATGGAACATACAAACATTTTCAAGCACTCTTAACTTCCATGACATAGCTGTAAACATATGGCGAGAACACTGGGCTTGACCATGTGTCCTTCCCCAAATAACAGCATGTTCTTGTGCAAATCACTTCTTTGGACTGTTGTCTTTTCATGACGGAATTGGGATGTTGTTCTATATGGTCTGTGAAATCAATATTTTTGTGATTTTTCAGGTGAGTTGAAATGAAGATGGGAAACTGATGAAAAGGGGGAAGGAAAAATAGCAAAAAGTAAAAAGGGACAGTGAAGAGTGCAGCAGAGGCTTGGGGCACTGGCGAGTGATCTCCTTGACAACTGCTTCCTGCTTTGAGCTTCAGAGTCATTGTTACTACTTTTTATCAGTGTGTTTTGAAAACTGATTAACCCTTATTTATAGCTTTCACTTCTTTTCCAGCTTTTCCAGTCTTGGATAGCTGTAAAAGCCAAAAGTAGAGAAAATAGTATTGTAAGCCAGCCAACATTAACTCACAAGCCAGTGAAATGAATCCAGGGACCAGACAGATAGTCCAAACCTAAAGGTTCCCTCTCCACTTCTAATGGCTTAGCTACTGCTGGCCAAAGAAGACTTAGTCTGATAAAATAAAATTACTGGTGTGGTGGCACACACCTGTAACCATACCATGTAGGAATTGGAGGCAGGAAGATCAGGAATTCAAGTTCATTCTCTGCTACATACCAAGTTCAAGGCTAGGCTGGGCGACATGAGACCTTGTCCTAGTTTTATTTCTGTTGCTGTGATTTAAAACAAAACCCGTAAAAAGCAACTTAAAGAAGAAAGAGTTTATTTTAGCTCACCATTCGAGGTTATAGTCCATCACTGCAGGAAGGTCAAGGCAGCAGGAACTTGAAGCAGTTAGTCTCATCCACATTTAAGAACAGACTTATAAATGCATTCCTACCTGCTCAGTTCTCTTTTTCACTCCTGTGTGACTCAAGGTCCAGCTCATGAACTCCCCACATTCAGAGTGCGCCTTTCCACCGCATAACCAATTAAGAAAAAATATCCATCCCGCCTTTACTTCCCTGGGCTTCACAGCCTCCAGTGTCCTGGTCCCAGCACCTTCCCTGGGTGAGTCCAGTGCACCCAGCACACCTTGACTCCCCCAGCCTCTTTTACCCTCCCAGCTCCTCCATCGAGTCTCTCCTCCTGGGCTGAGTACAGGCCATTTTTTTGTCTTGGCCCCCAGACACCAGGGCCAACCTCTAGGCCCAGAGCCACCACTTGTTCCTGATCAGTGCATCCGGACCAACCCAGTTCCTCCCTGCCATCCTCAGGAACTCTCTGGGCCTGGTCCCGCCCTCACCTTACTTCCCTGGGCTGCACAGCCTCTGGGCCACCTGGTGCCAGTACCTTTCCTGGTCCCCAGGAGACCTCTGGACCAGGTCCCGCCCTCATATCCCTTGGCTTCCTGGGCCGAACAGCCTCCAGTGTCCTGGTACCAGCACCTTCCCTGGGTAAGCCCAGGGCCCAGTGCACCTTGACTCCCCCAACCTCTTTCATCATCCCACCTCCACCCCCATTCTCTCCTCCTAAGCTGGGTACAGGCCCATTTCTTGTCTTGGCACCCCAGACACCTGGGCTGACCTCTCCGCCCAGAGCAGCGAGTGCTTGCTGATCCTTTGCATCAGGACCAACCCATTTCCTCCCTGTGACCCCCAGGAACCCTCTAGGCCTGGTCCCACCCTCATCTTCCTTTACTTCCCTGGGTGGCACAGCCACCAGCTTCCTGAGACCAGCATCTATCCTGGGCCCTTCTCCCAGGCCAGCCCAGCCCCCAAATTCTTAAGGGCACCATCTTTCCTTGAGGGACCCATACCTTAGGAGAAAGCCTGATACCATCTGAGCCTCATCTCACTTGGGCCTCTATAGGAACACCTGAAGACAAAAGCAATTAGGTCACTCCAATATAAAATCAAGAGAAAGAACCTGAAGCCTAGACCAACCAGCTTTTCATGCTCAATAAGTAAACCACAAAGGCACATAAAGTTTACAAAAAGAAGCAGATCTAAACTCAACAAAGGAAGGCTTCAGTCTCACACAAGAATCAGAGACTACGAAGGAAATTCACATTTCAAAATCACAAAGAAAAAACAGTAACATGAAAATCCAAAATAATATATCCCCACCAAGTACCAATAGTCTAGAGGAGTCCAATG